AATAATAATAATAATAATAATAATAATAATAATAATAATCTTTATTTATACCCCGCCACCCTCTCCCCAATGGGGGCTCGGGGTGGCTAGTATAGTATATATAATATATAGTATATATAGTATAGTATTGCAAAAATAGGGGAACAAGAACAGAAATAAGTCAAAAACATAACCACGTTAATTGCACATTTCCATGACACCGACGCTCCCATTTGTGGATTTGATCACTGACATCTTTGATTGACAGGTGCCAGATTTGTAACATTCAGCTGACTATCTTTTGCATTTTGTCGTTGCTTTGTCAATGCCAGATTTCCCTTTCCCGACGGTGGCTCCGACCGCTCTGCCTCCCAGGATGAAAACAAGGCTCGTCCCTGAAGGAAGGAACGTCACCTTCCAGTGCGGACGCAAGATCACCCACAAAAAGGGCAAAGTGTAGTAAGTATTTCCCCAAATGCCTCAACTGTCGGCTTGTATGAATACAGATGAGAGAGAGAGAGAGATTTCCTGAAAAAGTCAGGAAATCATATCATTACGTACTACGATTTTTGTTTCTGAGCTATAAATGTCACCCCAAGTTTGCCTTTGCCTGCTTCAAAAGAACATGAGGAAGAACTTCCTGACTGTGAGAACCGTTCAGCAGTGGAACTCTCTGCCCCGAGAGTAGGGACGCCGGGGGGGGGGGGGGGGGGGGGGGGGGGGGGGGTCATATGGGGTTGCCAGAGACCATCCGAAAACATATTATTTTCTGTTGGTCATGGAGGTTCTATGTGGGAAATTTGGCCCAATTCTATTGTCGGTGAGGTTCAGACTGCTCTTTGATTGTAGGTGAACTATAAATCCCAGCAACTACAACTCCCAAATGTCAAGGTCTATTTCCCCCAAAACTCTACCAGTGTTCACATTTGGGCATATTGAGTATTCATGCCAAGTTTGGTCCAGATCCATCATGCAGTAAGAGCACCTAAAACTTCAGAGAGCTTCTGTTCAACCATTTCAAAGCTCCCTGCTTGAGCGGTGATGGCATGATCATCAGCGTAGATGAAACTCTCTGTCCCTTCTGGCAGTGGCTGATCATTTGTGTCAATGTTAAACATTGATGGAGCAAGTACTCTCTCTTGAGTTGGGCCATTCTTCTGTTTCCGTCATCTGCTTCTCAACAAAAAAGCTCCTGTTTTGAAGCAATGTTAATCATTGATGGAGCAAGCTTCGGAGAGCTTTTCTTCAACCATTTCAAAGCTCCCTGCTGGGGCGGTGATGGCACGATCATCAGCATAGATGAAACTCTCTGTCCCTTCTGGCAGTGGCTGGTCATTTGTGTACATGTTAAACATGGATGGAGCAAGATTTGGAGAGCTTCTGTTCAACCATTTCAAAGCTCCCTGCTTGAGCGGTGATGGCATGATCGTCAGCATAGAAGAAACTCTCTGTCCCTACTGGCAGTGGCTGATCATTTGGGTAAATATTAAGCATTGATGGAGCAAGCTTCGGAGAGCTTCTGTTCAACCATTTCAAAGCTCCCTGCTTGAGTGGTGATGGCATGATCGTCAGCATAGATGAAACTCTCTGTCCCTTCTGGCAGTGGCTGGTCATTTGTGTAAATGTTAAACATTGATGGAGCAAGCTTCGGAGAGCTTCTGTTCAACCATTTCAAAGCTCCCTGCTTGAGTGGTGATGGCATGATCGTCAGCATAGATGAAACTCTCTGTCCCTTCTGGCAGTGGCTGGTCAATTGAGTAAATATTAAGCATTGATGGAGCAAGCTTCGGAGAGCTTCTGTTCAACCATTTCAAAGCTCCCTGCTGGGGCGGTGATGGCACGATCATCAGCATAGATGAAACTCTCTGTCCCTACTGGCAGTGGCTGATCATTTGGGTAAATATTAAGCATTGATGGAGCAAGCTTCGGAGAGCTTCTGTTCAACCATTTCAAAGCTCCCTGCTTGAGTGGTGATGGCATGATCGTCAGCATAGATGAAACTCTCTGTCCCTTCTGGCAGTGGCTGGTCATTTGTGTAAATATTAAGCATTGATGGAGCAAGCTTCGGAGAGCTTCTGTTCAACCATTTCAAAGCTCCCTGCTGGGACAGTGATGGCATGATCGTCAGCATAGATGAAACTCTCTGTCCCTTCTGGCAGTGGCTGATCATTTGGGTAAATATTAATCATTGATGGAGCAAGCTTCGGAGAGCTTCTGTTCAACCATTTTAAAGCTCTCTGCTTGAGAGGTGATGGCATGATCGTCAGCATAGATGAAACTCTCTGTCCCTTCTGGCAGTGGCTGGTCAATTGAGTAAATATTAAGCATTGATGGAGCAAGCTTCGGAGAGCTTCTGTTCAACCATTTCAAAGCTCCCTGCTTGAGTGGTGATGGCACAATCGTCAGCATAGATGAAACTCTCTGTCTCTTCTGGCAGTGGCTGGTCATTTGTGTAAATATTAAGCACTGATGGAGCAAGCTTCGGAGAGCTTCTGTTCAACCATTTCAAAGCTCCCTGCTTGAGTGGTGATGGCATGATCGTCAGCATAGATGAAACTCTCTGTCCCTTCTGGCAGTGGCTGGTCAATTGAGTAAATATTAAGCATTGATGGAGCAAGCTTCGGAGAGCTTCTGTTCAACCATTTCAAAGCTCCCTGCTTGAGGTGTGATGGCACAATCGTCAGCATAGATGAAACTCTCTGTCCCTTCTGGCAGTGGCTGATCATTTGAGTAAATATTAAGCATTGATGGAGCAAGCTTCGGAGAGCTTCTGTTCAACCATTTTAAAGCTCCCTGCTTGAGTGGTGATGGCATGATCGTCAGCATAGATGAAACTCTCTGTCTCTTCTGGCAGTGGCTGGTCATTTGTGTCAATGTTATACACTGATGTTGCAACCTGGTTTCCCCTGTGATAGGCAGTAAGAGCACCTAAAGCTTCGGAGAGCTTCTGTTCAACCATTTCAAAGCTCTCTGCTTGAGAGGTGATGGCATGATCGTCAGCATAGATGAAACTCTCTGTCCCTTCTGGCAGTGGCTGGTCAATTGAGTAAATATTAAGCATTGATGGAGCAAGCTTCGGAGAGCTTCTGTTCAACCATTTCAAAGCTCCCTGCTTGAGTGGTGATGGCACAATCGTCAGCATAGATGAAACTCTCTTTTCCTTCTGGCAGTGGCTGGTCATTTGTGTATGCTAAACATGGATGGAGTAAGCTGGCTCCCTATCTGTCCAGGGATGACATGTCCACGGTGATCCAGGCTACAGTCATCTCAAGGCTAGACTACTGTAACGCCCTCTACGTAGGCCGTTGAAGGTGTCCAGCTGCAGGAAGAAAGGTCCTGTTATCCCAGCGTGCGTCGCAGTGTTATCAAAAACATATTAAGCTAACACTGATAATAATAATAATAATAATAAAAGAATACCAAACAAAACTATTGTGAACTTACCAGACATACCACAAACTGGTCCAGCTGGTTCCCAAAGCACACCTAAAGGCAAAGGAACAGGAAGCTTTAGGTATTGGTTTATAATTTTGCTCACGCGCATCATCTGTGACATCCCTGCAATAATAATAATAATAATAATAATAATAATAATAATAATAATAATAATAATCTTTATTTATACCCTGCTACCATCTCTCCAAGGTGGACTCAGGGCAACTAACATGAGGCCAAGCCCAAAAACAATACAGCAAAGTTAAACAGAAAATAATCCGCATTTGAGGTCAGACACAATAATAATAATAATAATAATAATAATAGTAATAATAATAATAATAGTAATAATAATAATAGTAATAATAATAATAATAGTAATAATAGTAATAATAATAATAGTAATAACAATAGTAATAATAATAGTAATAATAATAATAATAATGGAAATCTTTGGAGAAAATTCCCCTTGATTTGGGGGAGTTGTAGTTCACCTACATCCACAGAGAACTGTGAACCCAAACACTGCTGGATATGGACCGAACTTAGCACATATACTTGATATGCCAACGTTTTATTAGTGGAGGGGTTTTGGGGACGGATGGACGAACCTTCCTTTCTGGGAGTTGTAGTTCACCCACAACCACAGAAGCCATGACCTCCACCGATGATGGACCTGGACCAAATTTGGCAAACATATCTCATACGCCAAAATTTCATAACTGGAGGGGTTTGTGGGGAACTGACCTTCCTTTCTGGGAGTTGTAGTTCATCCACAATCGGAGAAACCGTGAACTCCACCAATGATGGATCTGGACCAAACTTGGCACACATACCTCATATGCCGAAACTCGATGACTGGAGGGGTTTGTGGGGAACTGACCTTCCTTTCTGGGAGTTATAGTTCACCCACAACCACAGAAGCCATGACCTCCACTGATGATGGACCTGGACCAAATTTGGCAAACATATCTCATACGCCAAAATTTCATAACTGGGGGGGTTTGTGGGGAACTGACCTTTCTTTCTGGGAGTTGTAGTTCACCCACAATCAGAGAAACCGTGACCTCCACCAATGATGGATCTGGACCAAACTTGGCACACGTACCTCATATGCCCAAATTTGATGACTAGAGGGGTTTGTGGGGAACTGACCTTCCTTTCTGGGAGTTATAGTTCACCCACAACCAGAGAAGCCATGACCTCCACTGATGATGGATCTGGACCAAACTTGGCACACATACCTCATATGCCGAAATTTGATGACTAGAGGGGTTTGTGGGGAACTGACCTTCCTTTCAGGGAGTTGTAGTTCACCCAGGACCAGAGAAACCGTAACCTCCACCGATGATGGATCTGGACCAAACTTGGCAAACATATCTCATACGCCAAAATTTCATTACTGGAGGGGTTTGTGGGGAACTGACCTTCCTTTCTGGGAGTTGTAGTTCACCCAGGACCAGAGAAACCGTGACCTCCACCGATGATGGATCTGGACCAAACTTGGCACACAGAAGCCCATGAATAACTCAACCTATTGAAGGGGTTTGTGGGAATTGACTCACCATAGTGGGAGTTGTAGTTTACCCTACAGGCAGAGTGTGCACAGAACCCCACCGATGATGCCTCTAGAGCAAACTTGCCTAACGTAACAAACTTTAAGTACGGATGGAGTTTTTCGGCATGATGGGAGTTGTAGTTCACCCACAACCTTATGCATTATGTACAATTAAAATTTTGAATTTTTGAAATAACCCGGGCAACACTGGGTACCCAAGCTAGTATTAAATGTTTCAAAACCCCATTAAAATAGAAGATTTCCACTTACTCCTGCCGGCTTGTGCAGGAAGCCTCAGCAAAGGAAGGCACCTGGAGGAAATGAAAAAAGGAGGGTTACTTTAGTATAGAAAAGAGAATTGTAGTTTTCCAATAATGAACAGCATGGATTTATCTTTCTCCAATTAATCCAGTGAAGATGAGTTGATCTGGCCTTAATCCTTGTCCATTTTCCCAAGAGAACAACTGAAATGGATGGGACTGGTTTCCAAATAAACATATTATTATTATTATTATTATTATTATTATTATTATTATTATTATTATTATATTGAAAAATCTGCTACGAAACATGAGCTTTTTTGTTGAGTTCCAGAGTCACAGAAGCAGATGGCAAAAATGGAAGAACGGCCTGCCTCAGGGGAATGTGCTTGCTCCATGTTTAACATCTACACAAATGACCAGCCACTGCCAGAAGGGAGAAAGTGTTTCATCTCTGCCGATGATCATGCCATCACCACCCAAGCAGGGAGCTCTGAAATGGTTGAAGAGAAACTCTTCAAAGCTTTAGGTGCTCTTACTGCCTATTACAGGGAAAACCAGGTTGCTCCATCAATATTTAACATGTACACAAATGACCAGGCACTGCCAGAAGGGACAGAGAGTTTCATCTATGCTGATGATCATGTCATCACCGCCCAAGCAGGGCACTTTGAAATGGATGACCAGAATCTCTCTGAAGCTTTAGGTGCTCTTACTGCCTATTACAGGGAAAACCAGGTTGCTCCATCAATATTTAACATGTACACAAATGACCAGCCACTGCCAGAAGGGACAGAGAGTTTCACCTATGCTGACGATCGTGCCATCACCGCTCAAGCAGGGAGCTTTGAAATGGATGAGCAGAAGCTCTTCAAAGCTTTAGGTGCTTTAACTGCCTACTACAAGGGAAACCAGCTGATTCTAATCCATCTAAAACGCAGACATGTGCTTTTCACCTTAAGAACAGACAAGCATCTCGAGCTCTGAAGATTACCTGGGAAGGAATGCCACTGGAACATTGTAAATGTATCAACATACCTGGGAGTTAATCTGGACCGTGCTCTGATTTATAAGAAGCACTGCTTGAATATCAAGCAAAAAGCTGGTGCCAGAAATAACATAGACGAAATCTGACTGGCACAACCTGGTGATCACAACCAGACACAGTGAAGACATCTGTCGTTCAGGTTTGAGGAATACACATGCCCAGTGTGGAATACATGTCACCACGTTAAAACAGTGGATAATAATAATAATAATAATAATAATAACTTTATACCCTGCCACCATCTCCCCAGGGGAACTCGGGGCGGCTTACTTGAGGCCAAGCCTTACAATACAGCAACGCATATAAACAACATACAATAACAATAAAATACAAAATAAAAATGGAAGAAAGGGGTGGACTGGGGTCTCCCCCAATTCTGCAATTGTATGATTCTTCCAATGGAAGAAAGGGGTGGACTGGATGCCCTTTGGGGTCTCCTCCAATGCAATGAATCTGTCATTCTCCAATTCTATGATTCTTCCAATGGCAGAAAGGGGTGGACTGGGTGACCTTTGGGGTCTCATCCAATTCTACAATTGTATGAGTCTTCCAATGGAAGAAAGGGGTGGACTTGGTGACCTCTGGGGTCTCCTCCAATGCTATGAACCTATCATTCTCCAATTCTATCATTCTTCCAATGGAAGAAAGGGGTGGACTGGGTGGCCTTTGGGGTCTCCTCCATATCTGCAATTCTATGAGTCTTCCAATGGAAGAAAGGGGTGGACTGGATGGCCTTTGGGGTCTTCTCCAAAGCTATGGACCTATCATTCTCCAATTCTATTATTCTTCCAATGGCAGAAAGGGGTGGACTGGGTGGTCTTGGGAGTCTCCTCCAATTCTACAATTTTATGACTCTTCCAATAGAAGAAAGGGGTGGACTTGGTGGCCTTTGGGGTCTTCTCCAATTGTCCAATTGTATGATTCTTCCAATGGAAGAAAGGGGTGGACTGGATAGCCTTTGGGGTCTCCTCCAATGCTATGAACCTATCATTCCACAATTCTATCACTCTTCCAATGGAAGAAAAGGTGGACTGGATGCCCTTTGGGGTCTCCTCCAGTGCTATGAACCTATCATTCTCCAATTCTGTGGTTCTTCCAATAGAAGGGTGGACTGGGTGGCCCTTGGGGTCTCCTCCAATTCTGCAATTGTATGATTCTTCCAATGGAGGAAAGGGGTGGACTGGATACCCTTTGGGGTCTCCTCCAATGCCATGAATCTATCATTCTCCAATTCTATGGTTCTTCCAATAGAAGAAAGGGGTGGACTGGATGCCCATTGGGGTCTCCTCCAATTCTACAGTTGTATGATTCTTCCAAAGGAAGAAAAGGTGGACTAGATGGCCTTTGTGGTCTCCTCCAATGCCACGAATCTATCATTCTCCAATTCTATTATTCTTCCAATGGAAGAAAGGGGTGGACTGAGTGGTCTTGGGAGTCTCCTCCAATTCTCCAATTGTACGACTCTTCCAATGGAAGAAAGGGGTGGACTGGGTGGCCCTTGGGGTCTCCTCCAATTCTGAAATTGTATGATTCTTCCAATGGCGGAAGGGGTGGACTGGRTGSYCTTTGGGGTCTCCTCCAATGCYATGAATCTATCATTCTCCAATTSTATSATTCTTCCAATGGMAGAAAGGGGTGGACTGGATGCCCTTTGGAGTCTCCTCCAATTCTGAAATTGTATGATTCTTCCAATGGCGGAAGGGGTGGACTGAGTGGTCTTTGGGGTCTCCTCCAATGCYATGAATCTATCATTCTSMAATTSTATSATTCTTCCAATGGMAGAAAGGGGTGGACTGGRTGSCCTTTGGGGTCTCCTCCAATGCTMTGAATCTATCATTCTCCAATTGTATGATTCTTCCAATGGGAGAAAGGGGTGGACTGGGTGGCCTTTGGGGTCTCCTCCAATGCTATGAATCTATCATTCTCCAATTCTATCATTCTTCCAATGGCAGAAAGGGGTGGACTGGGGGACCTTTGGGGTCTCCTCCAATTCTACAATTTTATTATTCTTCCAATAGAAGAAAGGGGTGGACTTGGTGACCTCTGGGGTCTCCTCCAATGCCATGAATCTATCATTCTCCAATTCTATCATTCTTCCAATGGCAGAAAGGGGTGGCCTGGGTGGTCTTGGGAGTCTCCTCCACTTCTACAATTTTATGACTCTTCCAATGGAAGCTATGAACTTATCATTCTCCAATTGTATGATTCTTCCAATGGCAGAAAGGGGTGGACTGGATGCCCTTTGGGGTCTCCTCCAATGCTATGAATCTATCATTCTCCAATTGTATGATTCTTCCAATGGAAGAAAGGGGTGGACTGGGTGGCCCTTGGGGTCTCCTCCAATTCTGAAATTGTATGATTCTTCCAATGGCGGAAGGGGTGGACTGGATGCCCTTTGGGGTCTCCTCCAATGCCATGAATCTATCATTCTCCAATTCTATCATTCTTCCAATGGCAGAAAGGGGTGGACTGGGTGGCCTTTGGGGTCTCATCCAATGCTATGAACTTATCATTCTCCAATTGTATGATTCTTCCAATGGGAGAAAGGGGTGGACTGGGTGGCCTTTGGGGTCTCCTCCAATGTCATGGATCTATCATTCTATCTTATTATTATTATTATTCTTATTCTTATTCTTATTATTATTGGAAAGCCAGCCCCCCCAAAAAAGCAAAGTCAGTGGGAGAGATGGGATCACCCACCTGCAAGAAGAGGAGGATCCAGGGGGCCCGTTTCCGGGAGACGTGGCTCGCTCTCGAGGCCGCAGCCATGGAGGAACAGATCCACTCGATCCCTTTGTCCCAGGAGCACAGGCTTGCCTTTGTCTCCCTTCCTTCCAAAAGGAGAGGGGAGGGGGGACCCCAAAGCCCTGACGCCAGCAAAGCCAAGGGAAAGGGGGAGAGGGCAAGAGCCAGCAGCAAGCCCAGAGAGCACCTTTCCCCCTTTCTTCTCCAGGACCTCACCTTTTTCCCCCCTGCTCGGCCACGCCCCTTTTTGGGGAAACAGGCCACGCCCCACCAGGCTGCCTCTCCTAGCCAATGCATGCAGCTGGACTCCTTTTGGGAAGCCTGGGAGATGTAGTCCCTGAGCAAAGACAAGAGTTGCATGCACCCCCTGAGTTCATGCTTCATGCAAGCCAAGGAGAGCCCAAACCACATTCCTTGCACAGTGCAGATGGGCCCATATTGATTTTGTTGACCCTCCTTTTCCACTCTGTAAGTCAACAAAAACAATATGGTATCAGCAATAACTTAATAATAATAATAATAATAATATAACTTCATTTTCATCTCCCCAGCATACATTCAATGCCTATAAAAACAATGCAGAGCTAGATATAGATCTATAGTTATATATACTAATTTCACATATGCATTTCCCCCTGAAATGTTTGCAAATCCTCTCTATATGTGCATTTCCCTCCTGTAATATTTGCAAGTCCTATATATCTATATTTATATCTATCTACAAACGTCTCTATATATATTTGTGTCTGCATTTCCCCCTGTAATATTTGCATGCCCTATTCATATCTATCTAGACAGGTCTATATATATATTTCTATGCATCCCCTCTATAATATTTGCAAGCCCTATATATCTATATTCATATCTATCTAGACAGGTCTATATATATTTCTATGCATCCCCTCTATAATATTTGCAAGCCCTATATATCTATATTCATATCTATCTAGACAGGTCTATATATATTTTTCTATGCATCCCCTCTATAATATTTGCAAGCCCTATATATCTATATTCATATCTATCTAGACAGGTCTATATATATATATTTCTATGCATCCCGCCCCCCGTAATATTTGCAAGCCCTATATATCTATATTCATATCTATCTAGACATGTCTCTATATATTTTTCTATGCACCCCCTCTGTAATATTTGCAAGTCCTATATATCTATATTTATATCTATCTACAAATGTCTATATATATTTGTGTGTGCATTTTCCCCTTGTAATATTTGCATGCTCTATATATCTATAGTCATATCTATCTAGAGAGGTCTATATATATTTGTGTCTGCATTTCCCCCTGTAATATTTTACTGGGGGGGGGGGATGCATAGAAATATATATATATAGACATGTCTAGATAGATATGAATATAGATATATAGGGCTTGCAAATATCTATATTTATATCTATCTACAAACGTCTATATATATTTGTTTATATACAAATACCTACACACACACACACACACACACATATATATGCATTCCCCCCGTAATATTTGCAAGTCCTATATATCTATATTCATATCTATCTAGACAGGTATATATATATATTTCTATGCATCCCCCCTGTAATATTTGCAAGCCCTATATATCTATATTCATATCTATCCACAAACCTCTATATATATTTGTGTGTGCATTTTCCCTCTAATATTTGCAAGCCCTATATATCTATATTCATATCTATCTAGACAGGTATATATATATATATTTCTATGCATCCCCTCTGTAATATTTGCAAGCCCTATATATCTATATTCATATCTATCCACAAACCTCTATATATATTTGTGTGTGCATTTGCAAGTCCTATATATCTATATTCATATCTATCTAGACAGGTCTATATATATTTTTCTATGCACCCCCTCTGTAATATTTGCAAGTCCTATATATCTATATTCATATCTATCTAGACAGGTATATATATATATTTCTATGCATCCCCCCTCTAATATTTGCAAGCCCTATATATCTATATTCATATCTATCTAGACAGGTATATATATATATTTCTATGCATCCCCCCTGTAATATTTGCAAGCCCTATATATCTATATTCATATCTATCCACAAACCTCTATATATATTTGTGTGTGCATTTGCAAGTCCTATATATCTATATTCATATCTATCTAGACAGGTCTATATATATTTTTCTATGCACCCCCTCTGTAATATTTGCAAGTCCTATATATCTATATTTATATCTATCTACAAACATCTTTATATATTTGTGTGTGCATTTTCCCTCTGTAATATTTGCATGCCCTTTATATCTATAGTCATATCTATCTAGAGAGGTCTATATATATTTGTGTCTGCATTTCCCCCTCTAATATTTGCAAGCCCTATATATCTTTATTCATATATCTAGACAGGTATATATATATATTTTCTATGCATCCCCTCTGTAATATTTGCAAGCCTTATATATCTATATTTCTATCTATCTACAAAAATATATATATGTGTGTGTGTGTGTGCATTCCCCCCTGTAATATTTGCAAGCCCTATATATCTATATTCATATCTATCTACAAACATGTGTGTGTGTGTGTGTGTGTGTGTGTATATATATATATATATATATTTGTGTGTGCATTTTCCCCTTGTAATATTTGCATGCCCTATATATCTATATTCATATCGATCTACAAACGTTATATATATTTGTGTGTGCATTTCACCCCTGCAATATTTGCAAGCCCCATAAATCTATATTCATATCTATCTACAGACATCTACATATACTTGTGTGTGCATTTCCCCCCTGTAATATTTGCAAGCCCTATATATCTATATTTACACATTTACATATATTTGTGTGTGCTTTTTCCCCTTCTAACATTTGCAAGCCCTATATATCTATATTCATATCTATCTACACGTTTACATATATTTGTGTGTGCTTTTCCCACTTGTAACATTTGCAAGCCCCATATATATTCATATCTATCTTCACACGTCTACGTATATTTGTGTGTGCATTTACCCCGGTAATATTTGGAAGCCCTATATATCTATATTCAGATCTATCTACAAATGTTTACATATATTTGTGTGTGCATTTCCCCCCTGTGATACCTGCAAGCCCTATATATCTATAATCACATCTACAAACGTCTACATATACTTGTGTGTGCATTTCCCCCCTGTAATATTTGCAAGTCCTATATATCTATATTCATATCTATCGATTTAGACATATCTCTCTATATAGATTATTAAATCTATATAGGATTTGCATAGACTTGGAAAATTTATATATAAAATTATATATATATATATATATATATACACACACACAGATATACAGATATATAGGTACCTCTATATATTTATCAATATCTATATCTATATAGGATTTGAAAAGAATCTGTGGGGGATGGCTAGTCATGCGGGACAGATATACAGGTACATGGAAATCTCTAGATACCTATATGTATCTAGGATTTGCAAAGACCTGCAAGAATATGAGGGGAAAATTCATATATAAAATTAATGTAGATAGATAGATAGATAGATAGATAGAGATATATAGGTACATAGGGATTGCAAAGGCTTGCAAACGCCTGTATATCTAGGAAAGATTAACAAATATTTCAGGGCAAAATGCTTTTCTAAGATTAATGGATATTCCTGACTTGCAAGGGAATCTCTCCCTCTCCATTGAGTGTCAGAGGATTTGGAAAAGGAAACACACTGTTAAGGGAGTGGAAGAGGAGAGAAGAATAAATCGTACCTTACAAACAATGGCCTCCAGGATCCTCTGCCTAGCTTGACCCCATTATAAGCCGAGATAGGCTTTTTCAGCAAAGACTCTGGCACAAGCCAGTCAAGGTGGTCCCCGTGGTGATTGGCAGTGCCTAAAGACCTTGGCCTGCACTTAAACACAATTGGCGTTGACCAAATGACCATCTTCCAGCTGCAAAAGGCCACCTTACTGGGATCTGCACGCATTATTCGCCGATATATCACACAGTCCTAGACGCTTGGGAAGGGTCCGGCGTGGGATCCAATACAACAGCCAGCAGAGTGACCTTGTTTGCTGTTATGCTAATAATAATAATATTAATAATAATATTAATAATATATAATAATAATAATAATAATAATAATAATAACTAAATCACATATAGATCTCGTTTACTGTGACATCAGGGTCGCGGTAATACCACAGCCACAGCGTGACTGTGTTTGCTGTTCTGCTAAATCATATTAATTTAATATATAATAATAATATAAAATCCACAGTCCTAGACACTTGGGAAGCAATCTTGTTTACTGTGCATATTATTATTATGTGTGTCACATAATAATAATAAATAATAATAATAATAATAATAATAATAATAATAATATCACATAGTCCTAGACACTTGGGAAGTGTCCGACGTGTGATCCAATACAACAGCCAGCAGAGTGACCTTGTTTGTTGTGGATGTGTATTTCATAATAATAATAATAATAATAATAATAATAATAATAATAATGCCTCTAGACCATGGCCATATAGCCCGAAAAAACCTACAACAACCCAGTGATTCCTTATTTGCTGTTATGCTAATAATAATAATATTATTATTAATAATAATAATAATAATAATAAATCACATGACGCTTGGGAAGGGTCAGGTGTGGGATCCAATACAACAGCCAGCAGAGTGACCTTGTTTGCTGTTATGCTAATAATAATAATAATAATAATAATATATCACATAGTCCTAGACACTTGGGAAGGGTTCGGCGTGGGATCCAATACAACAGCCAGCAGAGTGACCTTGTTTGCTGTTATGCTAATAATAATAATAATAATAATAATAATAATAATAATAATAATAATATATATCACATAGTCCTAGACGCTTGGGAAGGGTCAGGTGTGGGATCCAATACAACAGCCAGCAGAGTGACCTTGTTTGCTGTTATGCTAATAATAATAATAATAATAAATCACATAGTCCTAGACGCTTGGGAAGGGTCAGGCGTGGGATCCAATACAACAGCCAGCAGAGTGACCTTGTTTGCTGTTATGCTAATAATAATAATATTAATAATAATAATAATAATAATAATAAATCACATGACGCTTGGGAAGGGTCAGGTGTGGGATCCAATACAACAGCCAGCAGAGTGACCTTGTTTGCTGTTATGCTAAAAATAATAATATTAATAATAATAATAATAATAATAAATCACAGTCCTAGACGCTTGGGAAGGGTCCGGCGTGGGATCCAATACAACAGCCA